TAATGTTTGTGAGTAGAAGTACAGAATACTTTCATAACTGTACTTCTTAGATTTTATCTTAAAATGCCAATAGAATTTTATCTAAATCATAAATGGTGTGTTGTCAATGGTTCCATCTTACGATCATTGAATTTATGATGGAAGATACTCAATTATGTGATTTTTAGAGCTAAATGAATATTATAATGCTGAAAGATCTATATAATCTACTGAAGTACAATAACGGTTTACTTATATGCATATATTGAGAAAAGCTCTACTAGTTTCGAGTCACAGAGGGGTTCTTCCTCACAAGCTGTGTACGCGGTCGCGGCGACGGTATTATAAATGAAGTCGGTAAAATGTCTTACTGATTTTTTATCTTTAATTCTTTTAAGACAGGTATTAGCAACATTTAAGACTATAAAAAACAATTATTTGAAGTTCCAGACTGCCTCGTTGGCCGAGTGGTCGCAAGTGCGACTGACGGGCAAGAGGTCTCGGGTTCGATTCCCGGGTCGGGCAAAGTATTACTGGGGTTTTAAAAATCTCAGTAGTAGCACGGAGTCTGGAAATGTGCCCGGTATATGGCAATAGGCTCACCCCCTATTACATGGGACTCATAACAGAAATAGTGAAAAGTGGGTGTTACATTGTACAGTGGCATTAAGTGCTGAAATGTGCACCTCTGCCTACCCCTTCGGGGATAAAAAGGCGTGATGTTATGTTATGTTGAAGTTCCAGTAAATAGGTGAACTAAAATCTGATACAGTAAAAGCGATACGTGGATTTGCGAGGCTATTGTTTTAAATGGGTACTTACGCTTAAAGTTTGGGGCCAATTTTGCGTGTCTATGTTTATGTTGGCCTCTGTAAATGTATTGTCATACCTTGAGACTTACGTAATAATGCGGTAAGTCATTGACTTGAAGCCTCTTTAACTTAGTGGGTGATTCACAAGAAACAGAAAGGGACAACTAGAAAAACGTTGAAAGAATTGAAGGAAACGATTTAATGTTGCATTTAACTTTTCAAATTCGCATTTACTTATTTGCTGTTCTTAGAAATCGTGAACCGTATTGATACTTGATGTTTTAAAGCAGTTATAGTTGGTATAATTTTATTATTTTCGCCTACGTAGTTTGTTTTTCAATCCGTGTAAGCCTCGAAAGGAAATCCTTATGTGCCATAATAAAATTTTGTACATAAAAGAATAAATAAATAAATAAATCCCCGAAAGGATGGACAGATCATTTCAAAACGCTAACGAAATGACAATGCTAGTAACTTTGTAGTCTAAACTTCTATAGGCGTCATTCATTAGCCACTGTCACAAACAACCACAAACTAACAGATTTATTCCCACAAAAAAATAAAAAACTTGAATCGGAATCGTCACAGATAATTCAATATAAAAACAAAAAAAAGCTAAATCAAGTCTCTTCGCTTTCGACGTAATACGCAATTATTCGATTTTTAAAAACAATTAAAAATAAAAAAGGAATGCGTTCATAAAACGGCCAGGTGTTTTTATTTTACTTTGAACTATCCTTTTTGCGGATATCACTTTCATTTATCGTGATACAACAAACAATTAGCAGTTAGCAATGGATCGCTTCGTTCAGAAATAGCGAGGAATCGATAGACTCATTATGAAACAATTAACTGAGTAGGTCGCTGTACGTGGGCATCTGATGATGTTTGCAGTTATTATTATACTTAAATATTAGCTTTTCACATTTCAAATATAGTTTTATATAGAAACAGATAAATCAGCCTCAATTTTATGACAAAACAGAATCTTAATATAACATAAAATCACGCCTTTTATACCCGAGAGGAGAGAGGTGCACATTATGCCACTGTACAATGTAACACCCACTTTCACTATTTATGTTATATGAGTCCCATGTAATAAGGGTGAGCCTATTGCCATATACCGGGCACAATTCCAGACTCCGTGCTACTACTGAGATTTTTTTTTAAAACCCAGTAATACTTTGCCCGACCCGGTAATCGAACCCGAGATCCCTTGCCCGGCAGTCGCACATGCGACCACTCGGCCAACGAGGCAGACCGAATCTTCTACAATAAAAATCTTGTTATGACAAGCCATATGAGTATTGGCCATTTTCCTCGAAATATAGTAATTAAAACAATACACAAATTATGTTAACTAATACAAATTACTAGGAAATAAAAGCGGCATAGTTTTCGTCGATAACAGAGTTAACATTTTAGTGGTAATAGTATTCCCGATGGACAGTGTGACGGACCAAAACGAATGTTCGTTGTACAGAATTAGCTACAATCCCGGTAAATAAAACATTGCCAATCTGTTGCATCGATATTTGAACAGTATTCTTTTGCGTTTGAATTGAGAATCTCTTTTGTTTTACATTTTGTTTTATGAAATATTCAGTGTAAAATTCTAGGTACTTATGTTTTCGGGTGAGTTGTACACAATGTCTCATCTGGCAATCCTTGAAAGGATAGGTATATTAGATATGAGAAATATCGAAGTGGTAGGCAGAGGTGCACATTACGACACTTAATGCCACTGTACAATGTAACACCCACTTTCCACTATTTATATTATGAGTCCCATGTAAAAGGTGGTCAGCCTATTGTCATATACCGGGCATAATTCCTGACTCCGTGCTATACTTTTTTTAATACGTCTGTAATACTTTGCCCGATTCGGGAATCGAGCCCGAGACCCCTTGCCCGGCAGTCGCACTTGCAAACAGTCGGCCAACGAGGCAATCATATTTGTTGTCTTTATCATATACCTACCTACCTATTTTTACAATTTTGACATGCTTAATGCCACAAGCGTATCGTGTACGCAATTGTGTAACAAGTTCAAATCAACATCTCAAAAGAAATAGTTCCTTTAAAGTAACTGAAGAACAAAAACATTACAGACTGGCTTTACAGCATCTAACAAAAGAGGTCACGAATTAACTAAGGCCAAATGAAGACTAAAATAAACCCAGTCTACCTTAGAATAGGTCAAATGCGATTCTCGAGACGGTGCAAATAAAAATCGTCCCGATTCTGGCTCCAAATGTGAATGAAATGGGCCAATGAAAATAACTCTTGTCTTAAATAAATTGCCATAGACTGCTTGGGCGGATAGCTGAATTAGTATCAATTAGATCGTGTGTATATTTGTACATTGTATCTACTTGTGTATTTGTAGTTGCGATTGGATTAAGAATGGCTTTTGTGAATGAGTTTTCAGTCTTGAATGATGTTTAGTGGTTCAAGAAGTTAATATTATATCAGATGTTTTTTTTTTTGCATAAGCCGGTAAACGAGCAGACGGATCACCTGATGGTAAGCAATCGGCGTCGCCCATGGACACCTGGATCACTAGAGGCGTTACAAGTGCGTTACTGGCCTTTTGGGGATTAGGAGTTTGAGGATCGTTAGGAATTCAGGGATTGGGGAGATTGGGGAAGGGGAGAGTTTCGGTAACCTCACTCACACGACGAAACACAACGCAAGCGTTGCTTCACGTCGGTTTTCTGTGAGGCCGTGGTATCACCCCGATCGAGCCGGCCCATTCGTGCCGAAGCATGGCTCTCCCACACTGAAGTGCTTCTAACAATTTTGTTAGGATGACGTGTAATGCACTTCTATCTACCCGTTGGGGATAAAAATGCGTAGTGTTCTGTAATGGTAGGTATGTACCATAAAGCAGATTTGTTATTGGAATTTTTCTAATTAGTCTAATTATATTTAATAACCCATTGTTCATACTTAGCTACAAGTCATTTAACGCCATGTTTAATTCAACATCCAATTACACGTGTTATTACAATTTTCGTATAAATTTTATCACGTTTGTGTAAATGAGATATGAATTGAGCGAAAATGTAAAAATTGAAGACAAACCGATGGCATGGGCCGCGGTTTTTGATTTAATAAATGAATGTACGAGAATTGATTCCCTTAATGGCATTCGGTATGATTTACATAAGTAATGATCATTGATACGAATTCATTAATTAATTAGCCATGTAGTCCTCGAAAAGGCCACCCAGTCGCTGGTAAACCTACTTTGTATTATTTCAATGTAAGTACACCAAAGATATTTTTCTTTTGGAGTAAGCACTAAGTAGTCCGACAAACTGCCACTTGTAATGCACTTAATTCCAATACATTATTGCTTAACATATCTTTACAGATAGTACGCTGTACCAATAAAATGTTTAAACGATATTATCTCAACAGCTAAAAAGCTTTAAGTTGACTTACTAATAGTTTTTATTGCACAGAAACTCAATACTTTAACATAAAAATATACGTATTCTACTCGAAACGAATTAAAATTATTGAGAACATGTTTAAACGCACGTGTAATTAGATTTGTTCAAGTTAAAAATCAAATTAAACAAACCTTTTTTTTCGAAACGCAACTAAATTAACTTTACAATGGTGTGATAAGATCGCGCGGCGCCGCTCGCCTACGTCGAACGGACGCAGGCTACTTTGAGCTAATCAACTTAACTCGACTGTCACCGAACGCACTCGGGAACTCGGAACTTCTAAACAGAGCACGGACAGTCTACAACAACTCTTTATAGTATTAGGTAAAATAACTCCTAGGACACTGTTAGACTTCGCCTAGCTAATGGATCGCTCCTCTATGCTTAGAACGTAAAACTTTTATGGATAAGTAGAATCGAGTTAGTAGTTGTGTCGAAAATAGCGTTTAAGTTGCTCTTAGTTTTGCTTTTGTTGTGTTGAAATGGCGAATGAGAGTTTGTCAAAATGTTTTGGTGGAGTTACAATGGTAAGTTGGCTGCTAATATATGTTGCTGTTAGGATTAGTTTCATTAAATTTGCAGCTTGTTCTACACTTTTTGTTATCGTTGTTAGTATACAATTGTCCAATAAAGTATCTATTCTCTGTTATTTTTATGGCCTACGTAAGGTTGATTTACGATCAGTATCAAACATTTTTTTTCTAATCCAAGATCTGAATTATTGGTACACTTTAAAGACACTTACTTGGCGAATCAGCAAGCAAATCACTGTCATCATGTGATGGAGACTTCACGGATCCAGGAGACATCTTTACAGGTGCATGCGGTGACGGAATCGGGCCGGATCCGGCACTACCAGCACTGCTGGCCGGTCCGGCGTTCGCGTTGTGTGACGTAGTGATCGTTATCTCGCCGTTCGACGCAGCCAGCCTGTGTAACATTAGTATTATGACGTCATTATCTAGTAAATGCATCCTAATAGGGTGATTGAAGTATTTGATGCTTGAAATTACCGTGTTGCACACCGATAATTTATTCAAACACGTGTTTGTACGGAACATGGTTATCGCTGTGTCGAAGAGCTGTTAATGTTTTTACGTGGGTGGTCCAATCTATATTTACAGTAGTTATAGGAACTTAATTCTACTTACAATTAAATAGATAAATATCTAAATTAAACTGTCAAACACCAAGCGGTCACCGGTGACCGCGACCTATTGTTCTTTAATTGTGTCTATAAAACCGGTACTCGACGAGTTAAAATCAGATTATCGGTGAAGTCAACATTTCAAAAAAATAACTAAGAAAGAAAAAACAATAAAAAAATGCGACGCGAGCAACGAGCCTTGTTGAAATTCGACATAACGAAGCCGTACCTAACAGTAAGTTATAAGGTAATCTTAGACAAATGTCGGATGAAGTCAATTAGATGTTGGTATTTTTTTATCTCAGATACATTTAAATGTAAAAGAAATCTTGTCGTGTTCAAACTGCGAAGAGATATCTATTTATTCTTTTGTTTTTACTCTTGGTAATGTCTACTTAAGGTACATTAAGTAACTAATAATTAGTTAGAAAGTTTACTTTTTAGGGAAATGTTAATAAGACGCAGTTGGTGTAATAATTGCTAGGTTGCTACGAGATTTTAAGTAAAGCATTTATGATAACTACTAACAAAAATTACATGTGTATCAGGTTTACCGAGCACTCTATGACATAGTCGATCTCTGATGTCCGATACACTTATCTCTATATCTAATAAATAACCTACTGACATTGGGTCAAATTTATTCTAGTTCAACGATAACCGATGTACAATAAATTATGTATGATCAATCGGGCGTGCGTCGCTGACGAATATTCTTAGTTTCTTAATCCTGTAGTTAGTTTTTTAAAGTATTTAGAATTGCCCACTGGAAGTAAACTGAATGGAAGAACCAGAATTATAAATAAAGATACCGCTAAATAGAAAGATAGAGCCTATCACGAAACAGTGACACGGCACTTGTTCATTGTCACTGAACAATAGGGGGCAATTTTTCTCAATCAGTACTGAGATAAACACCTAAAGAAGGCCCGTTTCCTTCCATGATTCATATAGTGTTGTGTGGTATTACTAAATTTAAAAAGATATCTTTTACCCTTCTGATTAACTTCAGACATAAAAATCATATTATAAAACGCTGAATTGTAACAAGAAGGACCGATAAACAAACAGATATACTATACACACAAGAAACAAATAATATATAGTAACTAAGGATGTAGGGTAAGAAGAAGATAAAAATCAAAGAGAAGATGTGGAAGAAAAATTTGTGTAAGCAAAGAGGTCGTTGGATATTGAAGACAATGCAGTTGCATTGACTATAAATAATGGGGATGGAAGTAAGAAAAATGTTAGTCAAGGACACGATTAGGTACACCAAAAAAATAACGATCCAATTGACCACAATTGAGATCTAAAAATCTAGTGATATACTAGAACCGATAAGGATAAACATTTAGGAAACAACCATAAGAAAGAAATCAACATTACATACAACCATTTTAATTACCATGGAGTTCTTGCTTTGGGAGTAACCTCTTTGTACCAGGAAATAATAACAACTTAGAAGAATATGTCTGGCTTAACAAAAAAGGGGGAAGTTGGTAGCTCATTCTGTTTTGGATTTTTAACAGAAAAGTTTTCTAAACATTGTTTTAAGGTGAAGGTTGGTATAAGACGTGTTACAAAAACCATTGTTTATTATAATTATGTTTGCAAAAGAAAATCATAGGAAAACGTGATAAATTGTTCTTTTGTATGAATACCTCTCTTACCCAACAAGTAGCTGTGAACGTGTTGTTCCTGATGATTTTTTTTGTGTTTTTCCCCATAGTCTTATAAATTCTTTAGTATTATAAGTAGTTATATCATTTCGTATGTATATATCCTTTTTATTTGAGGGAAGATATTCATCCACTGCCTTCTCCCGCCCGGGTGAGGCGAGAGGGAGTGTCAGACTCTTACTGACTAAAAACCACCCCGTTCCTACTCCTGCAGTTCGAGCCGGAGCCCCGGCAACCCGTTAAGTCTTCCGCGGCTCTGTATCGGCACCAGCTCTATTGGGCCCCATCTGTGGTGGTCTGATGGCTCCTTGAGGCGCGCGCGGAACGCGCTGAACGCGGCCCGATGTATGTATGCTTGGACTTCAAATACACTATGTCTTTTATAGTCAGAATAGAAATCCAAGTAGAATAAACATAAGACTCTTTATTCTAACGAAAACAGTGATGCCTGAAATCGTGATTAGGATTTTATTTCACGTTTTATTCAATTATTTTAAGCATCAATGCACAAAACATGGCTACAAAACCATATTCATCACACGTCACTCACATTACCTAACAGCCACATTTTTTCAACAAAATAAACATACAAACCAAAAAAACCCTTACATGTTCACGATTAAAATCTAGTTTTCTTTACATATTTTTTTTCTGGTACGAGTATCGTGTAACAATGATGTTTCGAGTGTCTCACCCGAGTGCAGCGGCTACAAATGAGGTGCGCGCTTCATTAAGTGCGCCTGCATTAGCGGTAATTGCTGGCTAATTAGGGCTCATCCGTTGCACACATACACATGCACTTTTATTGTGTTCATACATGATACTGTTACACAGACTCGTTTTAATTTGTCTGTCGTCAAGTAATTGAGATTAGTTATACATAGTTGTAAACTGTTTGTTGTGCAATTGTTTTTTTTTCTTCGCGGCTTACGACACGTTGCGCGTTGGTGCAAAAAGGATTTAAATCTTCTCTGTGCCTTTAGCCAAACGCCACTTTAGCGCTTGTCTACAGAGAGAGTAGAAATCTAAATCTATGGGGATGACACTGACAAATGTCAATATTTATGTCAATTTTATAGTGAAACAAGTGAATTTATTTCTGCAAATAGGCTACAAGGCAGCACTTTTACACGTCAATTTTATCAAGCGAACCATGAGGTCGACATTTCCTAACTGACTACTCTGAGAAGAAATGCCGAAACAAACTCTTTTAAAGTCCAGACAATAATTATGTATAACAGATTATGTGTGAGAACGAGTGTCGTGGTGGCCCGGAGGTTTAAGACGCCCGCTTCTCATGCATGAGGGTGCGGGTTCGAAACCTACCATCGGTAAGTACCAATGTGACTTTTTCCGAGTTAATGTACTTTCTAAGATTATTTAGACACTACTAACAAACGGTGAAGGAAAACATCGTGAGGAAACCTGGGCTTATAATTTAATTATAAGTTTGAAATCACCAACCCGCATTGAGCAAGCGTGGTGATTAATGCTCTAACCTCCTCCGTGTGAGAAGAGGCTTTGCCCAGCAGTGGGCACTTATAGGCTGTTGATGATGGTGTGAGAACCGTGCAAGTTCTTTCTGTAGTGGCTTTTTGAGAAAAGAACCATATAATTTGGTTTTCTATTCTACATGTAGACAAGCCCCAAATGGCATTTGGCGACAGCTGCTGGTTATATGGAAAGCTATGGCGTATTTATTAAACTGGAAAAATAGCTATAGGTCTTGTAGATTTCCCACCTAAACATTTGTAATGAATTATGATTCATACTGAGGAAAATTGATCGAATAGTTGAATGTATTTTCCGTAACAAATGTGTTACTTATAGTAATATAACTTATGACTTAACTTAATTAAGCATTGTCAAACAAGCCTTTAGATTAGTACCTTGAGTTAAAAAACGAAATATTAACTTATTTAATTGGTTGACTGCCTTGTTGAGTGGTCGCAAATGCGACTGCCGGGTATGAGGCCTCGGGTTCGATTCCCGGGTCAGGTAAACTATTAATGGGTTTTAAAAAAATCTCAGTAGTAGCACGTAGCAAGGAGTCTGGAATTGTGCCCGGTATATGGCAATAGGCTCACCCCCTATTACATGGGACTCATAACATAAATAGTGAAAAGTGGGTGTTACATAGTACAGTGGCATAATGTACACCTTTGCCTACCCCTTCGGGGATAAAAGGCGTGATGTTATGTTATGTAATTGGTTCAAATGTTCCGTAAGACGTGAATAATTGTTCACATTCTGTTTAGGGTACGTGTAATCATAGGTAGTATAGCATCTGCGTTAATTTATTTACCTTTTCTTAGTAATCAATTAATATGTAAATGAAACTAGCACCCCTTTATGTCATGGTAAATAAAGTACTACATGTATGTAGGTATGTATGTATATGTAGTGAGGCGATAATAACACGCACACTCTCTTACAAACGTGAGCTCATTCACACATACATTATACATGGTGTGCAGATGCGTGTGTGTGTTCACACAAATAAACACAAAAGTAATTATATGTTCCTTCAAAATTATCAAAAGGTAACTTCGACAACTAATACTACAAGTTTGCAAGTTAATTTATTAAAAAAATAAAATTATAATCGTCTTGTCGAATATTTAATTACGATCTCATTTTCTTGTCATTCTCGTATGACCTTTATCGTGCATTAAAGGTTTGGTCTCAATAAATGGTGAAAATAATTATATTTTAATTGATTATTATTGGTACTTGTACTATCATTATTACGCTCTATTACTGCTGAAGTATTAGTTAAGTTGAAATTTTAAGGGAAAATGAGGTAATGTTGGATGTTTTTATATTGTAAGGCAGGATACAATTGCATTTTTTATTGGTCTATTTAGGTGTTCATTACTCCGTTCAACTACTAAACAAGGACTCCTATATGATAAAAAATATTTTTATGACTAAGTATTACTATTCGCTTCTCCAACACCATGTATATATAAGATGATTTTAGTGTCTTCCTACTTACCAATGGAACCGACCCGTAATTATTTAAAAATGGAATTGTTTTAAAAACGTATATGGCCAGTAAAATAACGTCCGCCTAAAGGTACGATTATAAAAATATGAAA